CTGCAAAACTTCTACAGGTGTGTTTTTCACGCTCGAGCAGATCTCCTTACCCTCGAGCGGGTAGTGCTCGAGCGGTTCGTTCATTGTCTGTAAAAGTTCTGGAAGGGGGAAATCTACGCTCGAGCGGCCTTTCCTTTGCGCTCGAGCGGGTGTGTTTCGCAGTTGTGTCTTGGCGCTCGAGCGAGAATCTTTACGCTCGAGCGGGTCCAGTTTTTGTGTCTTACGCTCGAGCGTCCTATTATCCACTCGAGCAGGTCATACGTATATCAGTTGGCAGCTAGGCATTTTTGAATCACTTTCCACTTTTCATTCTCTCTCTTACTTTCCCAAAAATCGATTTTGAGAACTCCTCTCTCTAGAAAATACCTTCTTTCTAGGGATTGATCTAGCTAAAGTGACCTACTCTCTTAGTGCCTTTGTAAAAAGTGTGTTGATCGTCGAGGGCTTCGCTTTGATCCGAAAAGTTTGGAGTTTGGAGCATTTTCGATTTCTTCATCTTCTCCGTTTGAGCTCTAACTTCGAGGTAGGGATTCCTACTCATTCTTATGATCTTTAACCTAAATGTAGAGCTTTTGTATAAATGGTTTGGTTTGGAAAGTTAGGGTTTGTAATGTATTGTATTGAAAAAGAGGGGTTTTGTCTTGTTAAATATATATATATATATATATATTTGGGGTCTTAAAAAGAGATTATTGTTGTTGTTAATAATACTTGGACCTTTGGGTCAATATTGAGTTTAAAGGGAAAAATGTCATATTTGGGTGTATTTGGGTCATTAGTGTAATTAATGACATTTGTTATGAAATTGAGTTGGGGATAATGAAATTTGATCATTAAGAGATAGAATGGTGAAGTCGAATTTATAAATCGCTCACTTTTGAAAATGTCAATTATATAACTGCTTTGGGCTATCGGTGGAGGATAATCTCGATTGTTGTAGACATTGCATGATGATTAGGTGAATTGAAACTAATCAAGTTGTGTATTTGAACACATGGGTGCCGAATTCCGCGGATGAAATTTCCGTAAAATGGCCATTTGAATATAATTATACATGGGTGCCGAATCCCACGAACGAAATTTTCGTAAAATGGCAATCCGAATATATCTACACATGGGTGCCGAGTCCCGCGGATGAAATATCCGTAAAATGGCCATAAGAGAATGAAATACATGGGTGCCGAATCCCGCGGACGTAATTTCCATAAAATGGCAAGTTATAGTGTTGTTGGCATGAGATGTAGTCTTACTTCAGTTATTTTGCCAGGTTCTGAGCCATGTTTATAAGTTGAGTTTTGTTAAGTTAAACATTTATCAAATGCTAATGTTTTAGTTATTGTTCATGTTATGTTTAGCATATTTCTACTGGGCGTTGGCTCACCCTATATGGGACATTATTTTCAGGTGCAGGTAGTATGCCGCCTCCGAGGCCTTAGCTTGGATGGCAGTGGGAGTCGAAGACTCTTTTTGTCTTATTTTGTTGTATTACATGTATATCAAGCCAATGGCTTATTTTGTGTAAAGTTAGTACTCTCCTTTTGTAGCCAAGTGTTGGCTTGGAAAGTTGTAAGTCTATAGGACATTTACTTTTGTTGTCAACATGTAATACATTTTGTAAAGAATACTCTGATTTGTGAAATTATGCTTTACTCTCTTTCGTCTAAGCATGTCAAGAATATATGATTTATGGGTTTATTTTGAGGGCGTTACAATTGTAGTGTGAATTATAACAGAAAGGCCGTCATCATCAATGGACAAAGAAGAATCCTAATCTCTGGCTCAATACATTACCTAAGAAGCACCGCTGAAGTACTACTAATCATATTACCATTATATTCTTGATCTATTATTGTAATATCATACAATGTATGGAACACAGAACATAAATTTTTTTTTTTTTCATTTGCTCTTGCTGGTAAACCGGTCGAACAACCGGCCGGTCATCCCTTCAGTCAACCTGTGTTTTGATGACAGTTATAAATTGACCACTAGAATGGCTAATATCAGATAGAGAAATTCGTGCTTTTTTTACTCAATTTTGATGAAATATTTGGTGAACCGTTGAAGATGCCCTAACACATTAATTTTAAAGTTAAAAATATAAAGAAATAAATAAAAAGTTGGTTTTGTAAAAAAATATTTTTATCAAAACAAGTCTAGCATTCATATTGAAAGAAGGGCAAATTACCAAGAAGTCCTCTTTAAAAAAGGTGTGGCCTATTTAGTCTTACAACTTTTTGTTTATACTCAAAAATCCTATAACGTTTTTCTTTTTCTCTGTCTCTTTCTCTTTCTAATTTCCGGCAATCATCGACGAGCAACCACATCTTACTTCTTCTCTTTCTCTTTCTAATATATAGTTACTGGAGATCGACGACTGCCATCGATTAGGGTTCACCAGCAACCACCGATCACCGATTTCTTACTTCACCCTCACTGACGATGAAGAAGATATGTTTCCGATGAAAAAGATGAGTAAATCTACTCAGATCTGATGTACATCTACATCAAATCTGAGTATATCTAAACAAAAAATAGTTGTCAGAGTACAATCCTCTCTCTATATTTGCCTCTCTCTTTCAATCTCTTAATTTTTCTACATTTTCTCTGCTATACACTTCACTTTTCCTGTTTTAATGAAGAAAATTTTTAAATTCTGAATAAGTTGTTTTCGAGTTTAATTACAGGCGGTGAAAACTGTAAAATGTTTATGATTTTAATTTTTTTGGTGCTGAAATGAATCATGGTTTAAAATTGTAAAATTTTACAATTTCATAACATTCTTTAGAACTGTAAAATTTTACAGTTTCATAACATGTTTTTCAGTTTGATTAATAAGAATAAATGTTTAATAGATTTTTTTCTTTGAAACTGTAACATTTTATAGTTTTAAAACTTACAAAAATTGAAAAATAGCATATGTTTTTTTCCCATTGTTGTTGTTTTTTGTCGTTACATTTTTTTTTTCTTTTAGTTTATCAATATTTAACACATTTTGCTATGTTTTTTTCACTCTAATTTCTTCATTTATTCTTTTTTTTAAAGCAACATTCTAGACATTTAGTGAGTCTCCAATGATATTATTAACGTTCAGCGAACGCTCTGGATATTCCGGCGACTTCCATTGATGTTTAGAATACTCCGGTGAACTTTCGGCGATACTCCGGTGACTTTCGATGATGTTGAACAATCCGGCGAGTCTTCAATAGTTGTCAGAATACAATCCTCTCTCTATATTTGCCTCTCTCTTTCAATCTCTTAATTTTTCTACATTTTCTCTGCTATACACTTCACTTTTCCTGTTTTAATGAAGAAAATTTTTTAATTCTGAATAAGTTGTTTTCGAGTTTAATTACAGGCGGTGAAAACTGTAAAATGTTTATGATTTTAATTTTTTTGGTGCTGAAATGAATCATGGTTTAAAATTGTAAAATTTTACAATTTCATAACATTCTTTAGAACTGTAAAATTTTACAGTTTCATAACATGTTTTTCAGTTTGATTAATAAGAATAAATGTTTAATAGATTTTTTTCTTTGAAACTGTAACATTTTACAGTTTTAAAACTTACAAAAATTGAAAAATAGCATATGTTTTTTTCCCATTGTTGCTGTTTTTTGTCGTTACATTTTTTTTTTCTTTTAGTTTATCAATATTTAACACATTTTGCTATGTTTTTTCACTCTAATTTCTTCATTTATTCTTTTTTTTAAAGCAACATTCTAGACATTTAGTGAGTCTCCAATGATATTCTTAACGTTCAGCGAACGTTCTGGATATTCCGACGACTTCCATTGATGTTTAGAATACTCCGGTGAACTTTCGGCGATACTCCGGTGACTTTCGATGATGTTGAACAATCCGGCGAGTCTTCGATGACCGCATACCGGAAGTCCGACGGTAGTAGGATGTAACAGCATCTGTAAATTTTTTTAAAAAAAAAAAAGATTTTGTGATAATAATTAAAAATATATAGGACTAAGTTGTGCAAGTGTTTTGTTTTGGAATTAAATGGATTTTGAACTTTGTATATGAGACTTATTGGCAAGTTTCCCTTGAAAGAATTTGAAGAAAAAAATAAAATCTTGAATTTAACTTTATTGACAAATTAAACCCTTCATTTTAATTTTTTGTCAAATTAAATTTTGAAATTTTAACACAATCCCTATTGGCAAATACTAAAAGGCTCATGTTTCCTTTCATTCTAAAGTCGGATTAGAGTATACTGCTAGACTATGTGAGTTCACTACAAAATTTACATTGATAATTTAAAATAGGTAAAGTTTGTCAAATATTTTATATTTACAAAAAATCATGTTGATTCTATATCAATAATCACTTGATCAGATCATATTTATATCAACGATAATTATAATTTAAAAAATAAATTATTGACATAAATATAATTTAATCAAGTGCTTAATAATATCCAATCAACATAATTTTTCTACACAAATAAGGCCTCGTTTGGGAACAGGTTATTTTAATAACTTTTTAACTTTTTGGCTAAAATATGAGGTAAAAAAAACTAGTATGTTTAGAATGATTTTTTGATTTTTTATGAAAAAATATAAAAAAAAATAGAGAGAAAAATAGAATATTTGACTTTTAATATAAATTTTAAATTTTTTAATTTTTTTAATAATTTTTTAATTTTTAAACTAAAATAAACACATGTCAAATGAGACCTAAATTAATCACCAAACCCATGCATTGAAACCCCTACTGGAGAGAAGCAGTCCCCATAAAAATGTGTCTAATTGTAAAAATGTTAGAGCTTACAAATTTTATCAAATGCCTCCCATAAAAATGTGTCTAATTGTAAAATTGTTAAGATTTATAAATTTTATCAAATGTCTCCCACACATTTATGTAGAATATGAGACGCATATTGTATAGATTCCACGTCATACGAGATATTTGATGCTCATGAGACGCACATTGCGTGATCCACACCTACATAAAATATTTGATAAACATTTGGATAGAATTTTTGAGAAATCTAAGCATGACTCGTCTAACTGATGCTCAGGCACAAGTACGCAATCGAGCCCTTGTATTCCGTACCCTCTCTCTCTCTCTCTCTCTCTCTCTCTCTTCCTTGGCTGCCTTATCGACTTCGGCCGCCGCCACCACCACCGAGACAGAGACAGAGACAGAGACACTGTGACGGTCGGCAAGATGAGTCGCTACCACACGAAGCCTCGTCGTAGGCGTCACTCTTCTGATAGCTCCGACGATTACAGGTCTAATTTAACTTTTATCTAATTACATCTATGGATATACTCAAGCCCCCTAACCATATCCTCACTTCAGACAAACACCAACAAAAGCCTTCTCCTTATAATAGCGGTTAGTTACCATGTTTTGCCGCATTTTTAGAAGGGAAAAACTATTATATATTAGTATAGATAGATATAAAATAGAAGATAGAAGATGAGGTTCATGTGTTTTTAGGGGTAGACTCTGTGTTTTGATCCAAATAATTTAGAAAAAGTAAAGAAGAAAAAGGTTTTGAATTTTGACGTCGTGCGTTATTTTTATGTACTTTAGATTGTTAGTATACAATGTGCAATGAAAATGCTGTGTTTATTTTGTCAATAAAATCCAAATTTTTGTGCCACAGGAGTTATAAGTTGTTTATTATTAATTGGATAAATTACAAATACATCATTGAGATTTACTTAAATTATAAATTATCTCATGTGGTTCTAAAAATTACATTTTATTTCCGAGATTTTTAATTTAATAACAAATAGGTCTTTTTATTAATAATTCATCAAGTTAACTAGCGATTTTTAATAATATTAAAATTTTATTTCAATTAAAAATTCAGATAATTTTATTATTGTATAGGTGAACACTTAAAAATTTCACTTTTTAAATTAATTTTATTAAATGAAAAATTTTGACAGAAAGATATTTGTAATTTTTCAAACCACATGAGACAAATCGTATGTTAAGCATACTTCGGGGTATATTTGTAATTTACCCTTATCAATTTATGAACCATCACTGTGAATTTATACTGTGTGTGTTTAGTTAACAAGTAATGTTCTGACAGATGGATGAGCTCTTGCTTTATTTGATTGGCTTACAAGAACGTTACCTTGTTTGGGAGTTTAGCTATTTTAGTAGATTAAAATTTTTGGTGTTTGAGAAGATGGTTAGATTTTTTTTGTAGTTAGATGTGATATTTGTAAGACAAAATAAAATGATTATAGATTTGATGTGACATTTTATCTTATTAATTATTTTAATTTATTTTGTCTTTTTATAAATTTTAACTTAAAAAGCCAAATTTTAGCCCCTTTATTTTTTTATCAACAAAAAGGAATTTCATTGATGAAGAAAGCAGCATAAGTAAAAACTTACATTAACAAAGAGGGAAATGCCAAAAACATCAACGCTGACTTTAACAAATAAAATTTTAAAAATATATATCTATACTATTATAAAGTGAAAACATAATATGGTGTCTTGAAGCTTGCTTTACTCTTCTTATGCCATGTGGCAGTGTTTTTTATTTTTTAAAAAAAATTTAAACAAAGAGATGGGCAAGGTTTGAACCCATGACCATGGGTTTAAGTATGATGACTCATACCACTTAAGCTAAGTACATATTATATTATTAATTTCATTATTATTTTCTTTTATTCCTATTTATTTAATTTGCACACACATCGTGTGTGCCCAACAGCTAGTATATATATATTATTAGAGCCAGAGCAATTTAGGAGACGTATCCATCAAATTTTAATTGTTGTGGATTTCAGCTACTCACTTGTGGAGACAAGTCAACCGTTCATTGAAGGAGATGGGTCCTTTTATCTAGCAACTGTGTCATGCGATTGTGGCTAATTCCAAAAATGGATGGAGTTTGAATGAAATAGGAGCGAGCAAAATGGAAAAAGTTGCTGGTGTAGGAAGTTGGTATTGGTGAGTCCATGACCTTGTGCATAAAGGTTAAGGAGAAAATACCTGTGTTTTAATGAACTTTGCCATATGCTTTCAAGACTCGTGCTTTGAAAGTTGATAAGAGAAGAGGGAGGGGGGTAGCTTAGATAATTATCGTTTGTGATTCTTTTTTTATTTATTTATTTATTTATTTAATGTCGGAAAGTGTGGTGAATTTGGGAAGTTAGAGTTGATCCCAATTGGTGAGGTTGCCACTGTTGAGGATTTAGCATTTATTGTTGGACGTGAGGTCAGGTTTCTTTCCTCCCACGTACTTGAGTTTCATAGGTGGGAAGTTTTTTAAAAGCAGTTAGGGATTCATTGGTGGAAAGTTTTAGAAGAGGTTGGTGGGATGGAAGAGAGATTTGTCTTGAGACTTCCTATTATTTTCTCTCTTTGTTATTCCCATGTCAATGACTAGGAGTTTAGAAAATATCAAAACAGATTTCCTTCGGGAAGATTTGAGAGAGGAATTTTTGGCACAACTTTGATGGATTGTGATATGTTGTTCTTTGACTGAGACAGATGGATTGGGAGTTAGGAGTATAAGTCTCTCCAGCCGAAAATTGTCACATGTGTCTTTCAAATTTTGTTTGTGAAATGTACAAATTTCTTGTGCAAGGTGGTGGCCTTTAAATATTTATGCTTGTATGCGGAATGGTTGATATTGGTATTCACCGGAAGTAGTTTTACTCCCATGGGTGGTCTAATGAAAGAAACTAGGAGTGGATGGATGAGTTTCTAAAGCATGTGCAATTTGGATTTATCTGTCAATCCAAGGTGGTCCATTTTTTTCCTCTGAAAGAAAATGTTGAGGGGCAGAGCTATTAAAGGATTCAAAACCCAAGAAAGTTTCCAATTTGTATGAAAAATAATGGATTTGGAGAAGAACAAAAAGAGAAGGAAAATATGAGTGAAGGAAAAGTTGTTACAATATTAGGTTGCCAGTTGTTGTGGCCTGACTTGATTGTTTAATTCAGGTTGTTATTCCATTTACCCTTGTATGAAATTGTCTACTTCGTGTATTTTATATATGTCATATCAGTTTTGTTTATTTCATATCAGTCATGTTATGGTGTTATATTTGATTATAGATGTTTCAATGCTCATAATGAAATTTTTAATATTGTATTTTTTACTTATATGTGAAATTTTTTTTTAGCTAGTAAAGAATTGTTATATATTATCTTGCTGACTTGTCATATTTTCACTTAATCCTTGATTCTGATGCTGTGTTTTCTTGCGTGGTGTATGTGTAGGGCCGGAAGCCTATTCAAGAAGCCAATTATTTGGTTTATCTTATCTCATTAATGGATTTTACTTTATGTTTCTGTGTTTTGATGTGTTTCCAATTTTATACCTGTTCCATCGTGTATAAAAAATGTTTCCGAGTGTTCCCTATTATGAACCAACCATGACATCCCAATGAAATATCCTTGAATATTGTAAATGAATACCTACTAAGCAGTAAGCACTATTATTGGTTCAATCAGATGAGCTTCGGTTACTAGAAGCTTGGTTTTGGAAAGTGAACTAGGTTTGCAAATACTTTCAAACATAAAAAGTGAATAACAAATTTATGGATAAAGTCAAGAAAACATGGGTGGTGAGGTACTAGAACGCATTTCCTGTCATGAAGATTGCTTGCTTAATTACGGTGGGAGTTTGGTGCTTTGTGTGTCTGAGGACATAACAGAAAATCTATTTAAGGGAGCTCACTGTCACGACTTGTGATATTATTTTACTCCATTCCTTAATCTTTGTAGCTATGTTGTTAACGACGACTATTTATCTAGATGAGTGGTGCTCTCATCACACATTGTGCTTTGGTGCATGTTTTGCAATATCGGCATGAAGTTTAAATTTAGGAGATTGCTTAATTTGTTGCCACTGTGGCTGTATCTGCAGCCCTGTCTAAAATTATGGGTCTAACCTTGAGGGCTGTGGATATAGCAATTTCCTGAATTTATATACATTTCTTTCCATTATATAGCATAGAGCAGGGGAAATGGGGTTTTGTTCATTTATTGACTCAGTTTTGTCCCTGAATTGATTGAAAATGACAGTTCTTCTGATGGTGAGCATGACGCATCTAATCATACAAAGAGGTGAAAACAGAACGACAAACCTAAGAAGGTGGTTGTTCAGAACTTCTTTGCCACTCATTAGATTTTTTGTTTGCCAATTAGTGTCATTTATTGCCTTTTCCTTCCAGAACAAGGAAAGGACAAAGGGAAGAGTCATCGCCACAGACGTCATAAGCATAAAGTTAAAGAGGTAGTCCACTAATCTCTCTGTAGCTCTCGTCTCCATACTTTTATCTGTTGTGTGAGCCATATATTAGAGTGTATGGCATCATTAAATCGATTGTGATTCTTATCAAACATAATTTGATATATGGATTGCTTATTGTAGGCAGGTTTTGCAGTAATATGAAAAATGAACAACTAAACAATGCTTCGACATCTGATGAGAAAAATGATGAGTGCTTTTATTCAGAATCGTAGTTTGAGATATTAAATACAGATATATGGCTTAATTTTCTAATCACATGCATGTGCACCTCATCTTCCATGTAAGGGGGCTTGTTCCATGCTTTTGCTCTTATCAATTTGAGAATGTGGACCTACTTGTTAATATATGGCTATTTCCAAAGTGAAAACATTGCTTTATGATGTGACATTGCTGTCAATTTGAAAAGCATCAAATTGAATATGAAGAATGACATGGCTACCCTGCTATGGAAAAACAAGTTCAACTTACCAGTATTTCAACTTGATGCTTTTCAATCCAGGTATTATATTTGTCACTAACTGCAGCAGCAAGAGGTAGATGACTATTATAAAGTAGTAGCACATCTTTATGGCATGTCTCAAAAGGAATATATTAAAAAATAGGCTAAATTACACTGACCTCCCCTGAGGTTTAAACAAAATACAACAAGTCTGACAATTTTGGCATAATTACACCGACCTCCCTTCTAATAAGGCTAAAAGAACCTGAACTAATGTAGATGGTGTGAAGACACAAAGATAAATAAGGTAAATTATACATTTAAGTTTATAAGAAATGACGACATCATTTTTCTATCCATAATTAACAAATTTTTGATATTTGTTATAAAAATGGAGCTAAGTGTTATGTAAATTAAAATGATAAGGGATCCCAATGGAATTATGCAAACTTGTGAAGCTTATTATATTTTCTCTAAACCTCAAGGGGGTCAGTGTAATTTACCCTAAAAAAATATGTGGCGAGGTGGTGGTGCTTTGGGTTTTTAGCTTGCATGTGATTGGAACTTCTACACTATTGTTTCATGAAGTTCTGGAATTTCATGAGTCATGCATACGCGGAATTATTGTTATTTTTTATAATAATAATCTTTTTTGATAGATAATTGTTTTGTTGTTATTATTTGTTATTGCTGTGACTTGCTTCTGTTTTTTTGGTTTTTTGAATATGTTTTCTTCCACATATGAGGTGCTTATATTGCTTTCTGCCTTTCTATGGATGGCTCTTCGAAATTGGAGCTGGGGTCTGTAACATGTTGACTACTTCATCAACTTTACCTGGATGATGTTTCTGGCTCGGGGTTGTCCTGAAAATGGAGCCATATATAGAATCAGCAGGATGAGAGAAGTAGCAGCCCTGTGCAACTTTCAAAGGTTTGCACTTGGATAAAAAATTTCAATTTTGTCTTTTCCATTTCTTTTACACCTAATTTCGTTATTTCACAAAATCCAGTTTCTAGGGTGTGACAAAGAGGAAGATGTCCGCTGCAATGTTGTCTGTGGCAAGAAGGTAAGGTTATAATTAGTCCATTGAAACGACAATTAGTGTCTCTTGGATCAATTATTTGTTACTTGTCCTTTTTATATGTGGTAGATTATGTTGAAGCTTGAGAAATCGAAGGAGGACAAGTTGGCAGAAAATAAGCAAACTGAATTGCTGAAATTCTTGAATGCTAGTTATGATTGATTTTTGGAGTTAGCGTTTGAAGTGAAGGATTGGTGATGTGCGCTGCACGTCTGAAGGGAAAGACTCATGATCCTCTGGCTTTGCTGATGACTGAATTATGCTGTCCAATAATACTTTTGTGTTTGCTATGTGGTAGAGAAATGTATACACTGGTTCTTTGCAGCCTTCAGTGTTTCTTGAGAGTTTTGATAAGGTGATATATTATATGAAATTGAAGTTATTTTATGTGGATTTTATCATTGTTTTGATACTCAATTTTTTGGTGTTATTTATATGTATCCTTGAGATAGAACAAGATTTTTAGGCTTTGAGACTGTTATAATATGTTATGCCATCTGTTTACTTTGAGATGTTTCACTTGAATTTTCTTTTTAATCTCTATTTTTTTTAATTGTATTTCTAAATTAGCTACTACCGACCACCACTTCTCTGCAACTCCTTCATCGTTCACTCTCTCAATGAAAAAAAAAAATGAAAAAGAAAAACAAGAAAATTACATTTTATCCTAAAAAAATGTATTGTGTGAGGGTTGCATATCAGACCAATGGAATGACTACATTGTAATTTAATTGAAAGTGTAAATGATTAATTATTATAATTAAAAAATAGAAAATGGGTAAATTAGGTTGGTGTTTTTTTAGTTAGAGCGAAGTAGTTTTAATTTGAACATTGAACTTTTAGTTTTGTTATAAGATCATTCCCAGCAGTTTACTTAAATTTTATCCTAAAATATTATTAAAAAATTCATTTCTTATTTTTTTTTTTTTTTTTTCATTAATGATGAGCCAAAACGGCACTTACAAAAGAGTCCATGCTTACAAGTAGAGCTTACCCAAATCAAAGGAAAAATGAGTAAATAAATACATAAGCAAATAAAAATAGTATCAAAGACATGATCATACGTGATCCTAACCCGTACTGCAAAGTAGAAGCGATCATAAGAGATCAGCACTAGGGCTAGTCGGAGATACCACAAAAGCTTCACTCCAGAGAGGGTAAGCTAACAGATCACACCCATGGAACTCAAACACACAGAAAACAGAAATAAAATTAGAAAAAAGCTAAAAAAAGAAAACCAAAGCTGAGATCTGAGGAAGAATCAGATCTGGTGGAAGTAAGGCCACGGTGTGGTGGTGGTGGTGTCGGCAGCGAGAAGAGGCGATAGGTGGCAGATCCGTTGTATCGTGGGTGTGGCGACACGGAACAGTGGGAGGCAGCGGAGAAATGGCAGATCGAGCTCAAGTTAAGAGGTGGAGGAGGAGAAAATGCAAAAAAATTTCCACCCTAAAAGAAAAAAGAACCTCACAAGGAGGGAGAGAGTGGGAAGAAGTCTCCCAAGAGTTATTTTGCAGAAAATAAAAGAAAGAGGGGGAAGAGGAGAGAGGCAGCCCGAGAGAGGCCAGAGCCCCCCCTCCAAAAGCAGCAGCCCAAATGGAAACCCTAGGAGAGAAAGCTAGAGAGAGAAACTTGTCAAACTCATCTTTCGTGCTTCATTTCTTACTTTAGAAATCACTTTTTCATTTACTTTCCTCATCAAACTCTCTATTCTTTCTCTATTCTATTAAAATAATCTTTTTAATTATTTATAAATTTAAATATTTTTTTAATAATAAAATAATAGAAACACAAGCCAACCAACTCTGCAATTTCAAGGCAATGGGCTTCTGCTCAAATTATGAAAATTTTCAAACAACAGCATCATTAATTTTAGTTGAAGCAATTGGGCAGCTACTCAAATGGTAGAATTTTTCAAACAACAACTGTCATTTTTTCAATAGCCTAACCGTCATTTTGTGAAACCATTTGATATAAGCAGCAATTCAATGGGAACATAAGATAAGTGAGTGTCACCGTGATTATATCAGATAGCAATGATAAGATAGCAATTATTTAGTGCAGACAGTGATTATATCAGATAAAGGGCATTAAGTTCAAACAAATTCAATGGGAACATGAGTATATTTATCCTCATAAGATATTGTAAGCTAACCATGTTTCATTTTTTAATTTTTACCTCTATTATTGGCATTACCAAATGAAGCAATGGGGATGTAACTATCAACACAAACACTATTTGCAAACAGTTAACAAAGTAGTAACTGTAACTTTTATTTTGCAGAAAAACAAATTTATTTGTGCCAAGATGATTAGCAATTTTGTATAAACCAAACCATATAAACAGAGTAATTTCTTTTTCTTTCTTTCTTCTTTCTTTGCTCAGTCTTTTACATCTAGCAGTACAAGTGTGTATATAGACCATGCAAACCTGAAGCTCAGCTAAGATGAAAAACCATTAGCATTGACGATCATGTAGAGCAGCACTACATGCTCTTGTCACCACCATAGGCATTCAATTAAACAGAGGTGAGGTCATTCGCCCGAACGTCTGGCCGGTCAACCCTTGGACATCCGGCCCCTTGTCTAGGTTGTTGTGTTACGCTGCTTTATTGCTACTGTTCTGCTCTGTTGCTGTTGTTTTTCCCTTTTGCGCCTACTGCTGAAATAAAATAATAATTTATCAACAAATTTAAGAGATTATATAAGGGATCGGATGGGGTTAGATTTTTGAAGAATTAACCCCTTATAATAGCAAAAAAGTTATTTTAAGGCACCTGTTGTGATGCTCTAATATGTCTTTTTTTGTCACTTATTGTTAAGATTTTAAATGGAAAATGACTATACACAAATCTTTTTAATTTTACATGTGATCTTTTTTCATTCAAAAACTAAAAATAAAAAGTGAAATTTACAATAAAACTAAAATAATAATTTATCAAATATGATAGGGAGTCACTGTAGCAATCCTAAATTTAAGAGATTATATAAGGGATCGGATGGGGTTGGATTTTTGAAGAATTAACCCCTTATAATAGCAAAAAAGCTATTTTAAGGCATCTGTTGTGATGCTCTAATATGTCTTTTTTTATCACTTATTGTTAAGATTTTAAATGGAAAATGACTATACACAAATCTTTTTAATTTTACACGTGATCTTTTTTCATTCAAAAACTAAAAATAAAAAGTGAAATTTACAATAAAACTAAAAATATAATATTTAGATTATTTAAATTAAAATTACAAATATTAAAGTAAAATTTTAATTAAATTATAGGGACTAATGATATAATTTAATCCTAAAAAATCAAAATGAGATTCACCCATTTAATTTGGTATACCTAGCATTCATGCCATCTTTAATGTGGATATGACTCTGATTCAGGCATGCAGATTTTGTACTTAACTTCTTTTCTATTTATTTATTATTATTTTTTTTTTTCGTTGATTCAGTATGTACTTACCATTTATGGTTATGGTTGGAGCTCTGAGTCACACACTCTCCAAAAACACAGAGAAAATTGCATTTCAATGTGGATTTTTTTAAAAAAATTGCATTTCAATGTGGATTTTTTTTTTAAAAAAATTCAAATAAGTGGTAAATTTTTTTAATTTTAATAATAATTTTTTTTTTAGTAAATTTGTAAATATTTTATGAAGAGATCACTGATTTGTAATTTTTTTAAAAACATAACTAAAATTAATTGGGGGTTAGTTTGTTACTGTAGAGTAGTTGGTGAAGGAATCAATTGGCATTTACAACCCACCCCAATCTCTTTTTGTGGGCTTGCATGTGGGCAATCTGTCAGTCACTTGTTGTTCATATCTCAGTAACAAGAAAAACTGTTGGTTGGTTGTGAGGTATCACGTAATCATATTTCAAATCAATCATAAATTTTATATCTCTCATATTCTCTGATTAATATAAAATTATAAATTTTACTCATTCATCAATCACAATACATATAAAACACCACGTGACACTGCTCCTAAATCAATCAATAACGTCTCCTGGAACAATATCCGTAAAGGTACTCCCCTTTGTTGCATGAGTAAATGGCCATTCCATGTACAAGACATTAAAGCAACCACAAGAAAATGAGGCACCCATCAAGAAAACATGGCAACTTGGCAAGTGATTCTCTCTCTCTCTCTGGTAAGTGTCATTGAACTTGGACTTGTTCGTTGAAAAAAAATCTCAAATTAATAAATTTTATGAATTTTTAAATTAATTGTATCAATCATAATGTTCCTGTAACAAGCTCCTATATAATGGAGCCTTAATCTTGTTTCAATATACAGAGTTTACATTACAATTCTCTTTCAATATTACTCTCTCAATTTGTCTTTCATAATTTGTCTTAATTTATCTTTCATACAAGACATTAAAGCAACCACAAGAAAATGAGGCACCCATCAAGAAAACATGGCAACTTGGCAAGTGACTCTCTCTCTCTCTCTCTCTGGTAAGTGTCATTGAACTTGGACTTGTTCGTTGAAAAAAAAATCTCAAATTAATAAATTTTATGAATTTTTAAATTAATTGACGTGTCCAAAAAAATTTAAAATTTAAAACATAATCTACTTCAATAATGTCATAGGTTTTGGAGAAGGTAACAAGGTGAGTTTATTGTCCCTCGCCCCGTACAATGTAAGGAGCAAGACAATTTGGAGAGGGGGCTATGGTGGAGCTGGAGCAGGGCAAGGGCAAAATAAAAAAATTAATAAAATTTTATTGGAAAAAACAATATATATTTTTGTATTTCTGTATTTTTGTATTGGTCAAAATAATAGATTTTAGCATTATCATATTATATAACAAATATAATATGATAATTGATGTGGTATTACTTCAAAATACTAAAAAATCTCTCTGCATCCAAACCACCACACAATTTTCTACATGCAGATCTGGTACTTACCATTGTTGTTTCTTGTTTCTGATATTTTTAAAAAATTTATTTATTTATGGGAAAATAACATGTCTCTGATTTTACAAAAATTAATTACAAATCTATGATAAAGTGTATGATTTTTTTATCTTCTAATATTTATAAAATTTATCATTAATTTAAGATTTTTTTTTAATTATACACTGCAGTGAAATTATCTCTTTATTTATTAAGTTTGTACTTGCTATTCATGGGTTATGGTTGGAGGTAGTGAAAGTTGAGTAGTTGAAGAAATCAATAATGGCATTTACAACACCACCGCACTCTTTTCAGACCAAACGAACATATGGGCAATTTGTCAGTCATTTGTTGTTGATAGAGTAACCATAATATGTAGGAGTTTTCTTAAGTGTGCAAGTGCACACCATGTGCCACTTACACAAAAAGTGTAAGTGTAAGGTGTAAGTATAAGTATAAGGTGTAAGTGTAAGGTGTAAGTGTAAGGTGTAAGGTGTAGGTGGGTTGCACATGGTGTGCAACCTCAAAAAAGGTGTAAGTGTAAGGTTTAATTTTTTACAAAAGGTGTAAGTGTAAGGTGTAAGTGTAAGGTATAAAGTGTAAGG